TAACGCAGGCTACTACCTATGCAAACACAACGTTAACGCATGTCAACAAAGTTAGCCTGCTGCAGAAACAGACGATATTGACGCTGCGAAGAATAATTTTCATAATACCCTCCGACTGATCTGAAATGCTCAGAGTTTTGCAGGAAAATAAATCACGTAAATATGCTTTCAAAAATATCGCTAGGAAATAAAAAAAAAAGCAGAATTGAGAGACATTTTATTTACGTCTTCTTCTAGAACTCCATCGAAAGTCCAGCGATGATTGTGTGTGTGACCAAAAAATCACTAACTTATTTCTTTTATATCGAATTTTGAGCAAAATCTTGTTAGTAACTACATTATTAATGGCAATTTCCAGTTATAGTACGCCCCTATTCACTCACAAAGTGAAAACTGATTACTTCAGTGTTAAAAAAACCAAAAAGACCCTAACATAAGCCAAACGGGAAACTTGCTGAATAAAAATTTCTCATCAAGTTTAACTTACGGCCAAAAGAGCGATCTGTGCTTCTGAAGAGTTGTCCGCAGATTTCGTCCGCACTTTGGAGTTAGAAAAGCCGACGGTAGGACTTCGATTTCCACGCCATTCGTTTCGTTGACAGAGATCTTCGGTAAAGATCGTGACGGTTTCACCTTTGCCATACAAAAAACGCCAGGATTAACGGAAAATCCTCTTTTCACCGGAAGATGAGGAATGAAACAATCCGCACTCCATAATCGAACAATTCAATTTTTGCCGATCAAAACAAAAGACAAGTAATATTTGTCAGCCATCGAATTAATGAATTATTCAACATTGATGAGTTTTTTGGAGTTTGACATTTGCATAATCCTAGGCGCAGAAAACAAGCAAGTCTGTCTTCTTTTGTTTGTAAGATACTTTAGTAGTAGCGAATTAAAACAAGTTGTAAACTGGTCACCAAATAATTGAATTTCGATTCACAATAAACCCAAACTATATTTCTCTCAGTAAAACAAAACATTTGTGATTGACATTACGTTTTGCAATTAGTTATTGGAATTAGAAGCCTCCTGGTGAGCAGAATTTCAACATCTCTCAAAAACGAGACAAATCATAGCCGTTGTCTTCCTTTGTGTTTTTCCATAGCAAGCTTTAAGGCTTAAAAAAAATTAATCAGGAATCAATGTGATTACCATACAATTCTGTGACGCCCAAAGTTTCACATGCAGGAGTTTTTTAGCTCTAACGTTTAGACATTATTTGGCTCATTTGGGAGAATGTAAGATAAACGTCCCTAAAGATATCACTATCTTAACAGTGCCACTGATTTTATACATTTTAAAAGGATATATCTTTTTTTACGAGAAAAAGAATTATTTTGTCATAACTCGTTTTTAATCGCAATTGCCCACGTACAGTCATGTGCCAGTCAGAGCCTTCATTAAATCTCTGAATCCTTAAATGATGATAGCGATTCTACGACTCACCCTGAAATTCCTCGGATGTTTTCTTTGACGCCCCTAGGGTAAAAGAAAAAAACAGACGGTTAAAATATCATTTACAGCCTAAGTCCACGAAGTAGGCTTGGATAAATTCTGCCGGCAAAATTTCGAGCAGAATAAGCGATTTTGAGGCGAGCATTCTGCCGTCAGAATAAGGCAATTTCGAGCAGAATATGAGCAGAATAAGGAAAAATAAGCGGCACTAATAATATGAATATCAGTTGAAAGAAAAATTTAAAACTAAATAAAAAACAAATGGAAAATACATTGCGACTAATTTAATTATTTCATAGCTAAAACGCACTCACATTAAAAGTAAGATGAATTACAATATTGCTACGCATAATGAATATCTACAGTGTAATTAGTTTTTAGGGGCTAGGCCCAGGTTTCCCTCTACATGTATTTTTGCGAAAACAAATACGAGCAGAATGAGGTTGCCCGAGCAGAATTTTGAGCAGAATAAGAGATTTTCACGAGCACTGCCGGCAGGCAGAATAAGCTATTTTACGAGCAGAATTTAATTCAAGCAGCAGTCTGGAAATTAAGATCAAGACCACATGAGCTTATGATGTTACAATTTCTTACTTGAATACTTCTTTGGCGATGTGTCCACTGGGAGCTGATCCAGGGTTTTCCAACTCCTAGAAGAAAACAAAAACAAGGAAGGCAATGTAGAATAGTAACGCTCTTTTTTGGCGGGTTGGACTGTTAATAGAAAGCTTAAGAAACGACAACACGACGACGGCGAAAAAGTAGTAGGTTAAATTGGCAAAACAACAACTTCGCACGTGCATCACGCTTTTTTGTTCATTTCTTTGCCGTCACTGCACGACAACACGACGACGGCGAAAAAGTAGTAGGTTAAATTGGCAAAACAACAATTTCGCACGTGCATCACGCTTTTTTGTTCATTTCTTTGCCGTCACTGCACGACTACGACGTGAAAATGCCTAATTTCACGTTTTGTGGGTAACGTGAACACAAGACAACAGCTTTCTTTTTCTTTTCCTGAACTTCGATACAGTCTTTTAAAATTCAAAAAAAAATTAAAGTTTGAAGGTGCGCGACATCACTTTTTAAGAGACGTTTTCTTAGCCGAAGTCGTCTTTGTTGCTTAAACTCCCTAATGTGGGAAAGGAAACCTTGACTTGGAGTGTGTTTAGTTGATAAAGCGAAGGACAAAAGGCCTACTTACTACTACTGACCCTACCCTCCCCCCTCCTTCCCTGAACAGGAGAAGAGGCAGTCTCACGGTAGGGGCTAAAAAACAAGAGGCCATTCCCCCCCGGGCTCCCTCCGCCTTTCCCTTAACTTCGGGTGGAGAATTGCCCTATTTCAACGCGCTAGCTATCATATGCAATTGAAACTAAAATCAAAGTAAACCCTTGGGAACCCGTGGATAATTGTTTAGAAAATCTTCTTGCCGGCTATGAGTACAACTGTATGGGATTCACTTTAAGCGAAAAGTTTACCGAGAGGTATGATTCCTAATTATAATGTGAATATTTAATGCAGGACATAGTAGAAGTCAACACTTCTTCGAAGTAGACACCGCTAATACAAATAACTTTTCAGCGAAAATAAGTAAGAAACAACAGTATTATAAACAACAGTATTCAATTTAATTTTCGAGTTAACCATGATACTTGACACGCAAAGAAATTTCAGTCGAGAAAAGGCTTAACCGTCTTAGAATTTTTCCATCCTAGGCATAATTGCTGGGTTTTCAACGTAAAACGGCTTTTAAGGCGACTTTTTGGAACAGACGACAATCCATATTTCGACTCCTCGCCACAGAAGCCCCTGCCAGAGACAGCAAAGTTTGGGGTATAGACAATATACACACGGGATATACCACGCTAGACGAGCGATTTACTGGCAACGTTCTTCGCTTATCATCAGTAACTGGAAATTTAAACCGCCCCATTGCTTATGACCAAGACAGTTGTAGCGCATATACACGACCTAAAGAATGTAAAAATGTTGATGCTTTCGCAGCGAACGTGAGCCTGACAACCTCGTTCCCAGGGTTCATCCGCGAGGATGGCCGACTCGATGTACAACTCAGGAGCCTTTCGCCTTCGGCAACAACGAACTATGTCGTTTTCATATCGGGTAGTGAGTTCGGGTCGGAGCCGAAGAGCCGATCTCTGTCAATGCAAAGTGAGCGAGTAACACATTTACATATCGAAACTATTCATAAAAACCCTATGGATACCCTCAGGGTATCCACTGATTAACAAAAAGCACTCTAAAATCTAACACCGTTAATTAACCAATAAACGCTCGTTGTGTCTATTAAATTTTAGGGGTTCAAGCGGGGGCGTTTAATAGATAGGAGGCGTTTATTTAAAAAAACAAAACAAAACGAGTAATGCTAAACGGGGACGGCAATGAAAATAGCCTCAAGATCAATAGATCTAATTAGCAAAAAAACAAATTTGCACGTGCAGCACACTTTTTTTTCTAATTAGCAAAAAAACAAATTTGCACGTGCAACACGCTTTTTTGTCTTTCTTTGCCGTTGTTTTGCACGACTACAACGCCGTTTTGTACGACTAAAACATCAAACTTTACAAAAAAGTTACAAAATATTTTTATGGAGTAATTGTCGGACCGGTATGTGCTTACCAAAGATTTTGTTTCCTGTGTTCATGTTCGCTTTTATTTTTTCACTGCCGCTCATTTTCACCTTGCTGGCCGCTAGCATTTTTTCTTTTTCTCACCGCCGCTATGAAATTTTCATGTTTTTCTTCCCACGAAATTCGTCGCCTTTGTTTTCAGTCACTCGCTCTCTCTCTTTCTCTGTTATCCACGTGAGTGTAAACGTCAAAAATAACGTCGAAAAAGACACGACGTTGTTGTTGCTGTTTTCTCTCTCTCTTTAAGTCCGGGCGGCCATGCGATTTCCTACCAAATAAAACCTTGAGCTGCATTTGGATTGCTACACCTGTTGAGTGAGTTATTTTATATTGGTGTGCCTGTGGTGTCGACGGACGGGCGGAAGTACGGTCACGTGACTACCAAAATTTCTAGGATGCATAGGTTACCAAATTTTCTTACCCGTGGTGCGCGCGCGAGAGCTCCGCTATAAAAGTGATCGAGTTCAAAGTACTGTACGAGCACTGAATTCACAATGTAATTTGAAGTTCAAGCTGACAGTCACTCTAAATTGTTAAACTCACCATCACAGTATTGTGATACTTTTCCAGCTTTTTCTGTAACTGTGCAATATGGGAATTTGTTTTCTGATTCTTCTTTTCAAACAGAGTTCTAAGAGACGAGGAAGCATGAAAGATATAAAACAAAACGTTAATTGTCTTTCCTTTTGATTTATTTGTCAATAAATTCTTTTTCGGGTTTCACGTTATGTAAACTCTACATAAGGACGTCTGTTTACGCCTAGAAAAACTGTTCCCAACATTATCTATCGGCAGGTTACCCCAGATTCATGTTCCCTGTACCCATTTTGGGTTCAGATAACTTTCTTGTCTAAGGAAACGATTCGCCACTTTTGAAAAGGATTCTGGGACTGTCACTTGCCAAAAGACAGGGGAAAAAATGGCCAATAGCTGACCGCCCAGTTACGATCGCAGAAACAATAGCGGGACATATTTCAGCTCTAGTTCCCTTTTCGTTTCTTAAGTGGCAAATGAAATGATATAACCGAAAATGTCCTTTCGTTGCCATTGCCATTGTTGTGGTTGCATAATCTGAAGCTCCCAAATAATTTGTTATTAAAAATATAGAGAATCAATAATAATAAAGATGTAACAACTTAAGATGGAATGCAGAGCTACACACACAACAATACTCAGTTTTCACTTACTTTGATTTTTGTGACCCTTCAGTTGATTCTAAGTACTCCTTTACAAACTCTGTTAAAATTTAAGAAATTGCATAAACACAACAAATATAATGCTTCATCATTCTTTAACTCAAAGCACCAACACACTGCAATCATGAACGCTTCACAATTCACTGTGGCATAAGCAGTTATTACTTACATTAATTAATATTTTTTGTTTGTTTTTCATTGCAGTCTTAAGACTAAGAGTGATTCCAAGAAACCTTAAGTTACATATAAGCGAGGCTAAATACACCCGAGCTGGCAAAAACAGAAGACAAAGAAAGTTCATGTATAAATAGAAATTGGGCAACGTTACATTCACTTTATCGGTTCAAACTGAGAAGAAAAAGAGGTACTGTGCAGTAAACTGCAGTAATCTAAGTGAAAATAATATTGACAACTCAAAATCTCGATGAGTTTAGTTACCCCTTTCACTGCCAGAGTGATTGATGGAGTTTTGTAAGGTGACTCTAACTTTTGAGTCTGCGGACCAAACCTTATGATGTGACCATTCAAATGAAACCTCTTGGGCAGTACTCACACATGGTACTATCTATTTCGTATGTAGTTCTAACTTTAGAGTCTGCAGACCAAATCCTATGATGTGACCATTCAAATGAAAACTCTCTGCCTGTACTTACACATGGTACTATTTGTTTTACAAAATTTCACAAAATGAAATTTGGAAATTTGGTCGAAATTTGCTTTTGGCTAAATTTGGCAGTGAAAAGGTTAAAGAACAAGTGCATCTATGATTGATTTTTTACTGTTGATCATACCATCTCTTTCCTCTTGTAGTTGCCGGATCTGGTCTTTAGTTTTCTTGATCTTGTGTTTTAAGTGCTCTATTCTTTGCCTCCTTTTCTACAGAAAAAAAAAGAAACACTTTATGAAAACACTGACGACAACTTCGGTTACAACTGCTTGGCTGCACTGCATACATGCCGGCAACTCAACTCAAAAATGGGCCTCAGATTTTTAGTGATTGAATGAGGATACAAATTTATACAAAATACCATGTACACTGTACACTGTGCAGTAAAGAACAAAAGTTAAGAACAAAAAACGCTAGCCCAATAGTAAAATCCACTAGCCCGGGGCTATCGGACACAACTTTCTTTGCACGCTGAAGGAGGTTAGTGCCAAACATACCTCAGAGTCAATTTGTGCAGCATCAACTTCATCTGTTCCACTCTCCTTTTCAAAAGAACTAAATGTTCCATCCAACTTTTAAGGAAAGAAGAATTAAGTTAATGCTTTGTTAACTTTACCCTCTACACAAGTCATACATGTATGTTGTTTAATCGTTGTACTTAGCAGCATGTCTACTTTACCTATTCAACATATATTCAATACAAAACTAAAAACTGTTAGGGCAATAATTCAACTTAAAAACAAAATAACTGAGGAGTTTGAGAGAAAAAAGGCCTATACAAAAGTAAATTTTGATAAACTGGATTGCCTCATATTTCCTTGTTACATGTAACCAAAAGAAGAATTTAAAAGATCCTAAAACTTAACTGCATACCATGCACCCCTTTGAGTGTGGAGATCACAAATCCATTATTCTGTATAATTCACATAAAGGATATCTTGTCATCCAAAGAAGATTATTCAGAATTTTAAAAAATCTTTAGCAGTACCTGTGACTACCAAAATAATGTAAACTAAAGGTTGTAGTCTGGATCAACAGATAACTCAAGTGACAGTCTTGTGCTTAACACACAGATGATCTTCTGCTTTTATTTAGGACAATGTACAATGTACAAATTATGCACCCATAATCATAAAGCCTTGTTTTCATACATGTATCTTTGGAAAATTTAAATTCTCCTTTTTTTATCCACAATCATCCCAAATGATCGTGACCACACTTACAGTGTATGTTGTCAAGTTTTCTGAAAACAACAGCAAAATCTACATGTACATGTACAAGTATAAGATTCATTAACAGTTGCATTCCCAAAGTTATCCAGTATATTTTTCCCAAGTCATACACGTACATTTTTATGCCAAAGAAAACATTTTTCAGTGAGATCTTTCAACATAAATTTGGCTTGTCCAACTGAGTTCTCAATTTCATATGTATTTGTATTTTGTAGCTATTTGATGTCTGATAACTCAGCACAAAACAGCCTTTTAAACAGAAGAGAAAAGCACCTTTTAAACAGAACAGCACTAAGTTCCAAATATCCTAGCCAAAATAAGGCACTAGCAGAAGTAATGGTTATGGGGCCAAAATGGGAGGAAAGCAAACACCAATTTAAATTCACATACAGAGTCAACTTCAGCAGAATCATCCTCATTTAATGACAGTGCTGTAGCACTCCTCCCTCGGGGAAGTTGGTCTGAGCCAGGAAACACTCCAGAGGTGACACCTCGAGGCCGACTCCCGCTGTCACTGTCTCCACTGTAACGAGAGTCTGCTGATTGTGGCTCCTGAGTCTTGCTGCGACGCCTCCCAAGACTAAAAACCAAGAAAATGAGATCGAGATGAGACCAAGCTAAATCCCCCCCAAAAAGAGAGAGTTACATGTAACTTGAGGTATATAAAAGGGTAGGAAAATCTTTGATTGTGGTCTTTGAATGGAACTACATAATGTAAAAGGGCTAACAGGTGCATTTTATGGCTGTGAAAAAGACAAAAAAACTTCAATGTAATCCTGACTTAGTGATATACAGTGTATATCCATCAGTAAAAAAGCTGTGAAGGGAAGGGAGCCCAGTGCTCTGAACCTGTAAAATCCAAGGTGCCCACATATGATTTGTGTAAAAAATCTGAGATTTTCTAGTCGCCCAAGAGCAAAAGTTGGGCATCAGGGACCACCGGGCTCTGCCAAAGCACAGCCCTTATTCAAAGAAGGTGTATTTTACTGCAGTTAAAGGGAATGTACATTTACACCATGTACTAGAGCTCTGAACTACATGTAGTACATGTATGTGCAAGGGGTACCATTTATCAATAAAAGGCATCCAAAAGAGGTACCTGCTCGGTCAAAAATGGTATATATCACACTGTGTAAAATGGTAAGGGGTTGGATCTCAGGACGGAAACTCCCCTTATAAACGTTTGTTGAGTAGCCCCTGTCCCCCGACCCCCTCACCCCAAGTGCCAACAATAACTTGTATTGTATAAATCAAGTACAATCATGTTTACTCACGACGAAGGCATTGCTCTTTCTCTTATCTCAGCCAGGACTTTAGAGAACTGTTTCTGTCTTTCTACTGGCACATTTAGTTTTGTCTTTGCAACATTATCTTCGCTCTGTGTCAAAAAAAAATTCATTACATTTTTTCTTTCTTTTCAAATAACAGTAGGAATTTTCTACACAATAAGGACCAGACTGATTTCTAAGATGTTTAGCAGCAATTCAAAGATGGACCAACCTCTAAAGATTTAAAAACTGGAAACACCACCAAAATTTGGTATCAACCCATCCAATGCACCCCCCCCCTCCCCAAACACAATTTTCTGCTTACATTTGTACATTTGAGGTACATTTTTAAACAGTTTCTTTGACAGTATTCCCACTCCCACTCCCCCTAACACCACAATTTAATGTCAACCAACATCGCCCCCCCCACCCCATTTGCTAACAGTTAGAGGTACATTTATTTTGTAAACAGCCTCTTTAGCAGTATTCCTTCCCCCACCCCCCCTCTCCACTGTAACTGTAAGCAAAAAATTGTGTGTAAACAGTCTCTTTGACAGTATTTCCACTCCCCCTCTTTGACAGTATTCCCACTACCCCTCATCACAATTTAATGTCAACCCTCCCCCCCCACCCCATACACAATACTTGTAAGCTGCAGTTTACAGGATTTGAAATTTAAAACTAATTACCTCTGAATCTTCCTTCCCACTGTGTGCGCCATGATTCTCTTTATGCCTACCAAATAACTTTTGAATGGCTGAAAAAATAAAATTTATCAGTCTGACTTCAATTTCGAAATTTCCCTATAAATGTATCATTAAGGGTCAAGCCACTTGGTATAGGTTCAAAAAACCTGCCGATTGTAAAAACATTAACTAACGTAACTAACCACTGCAGGTCAGAATTACAGCTGTACATATATTAAAGTCTGATAAAACAAACAAAAAAAATTATCAAACAAACATTACAGTGTATGTCTACCATTGATGTTTCTTTAAATGCTATGAAAGTCTGGTTTGAAAGTCTGGAAATGAAAGTCTTAAGTAAAAATTAACTAAACAGATGGAAAATTGGATGTGTTCATTTCCCTCTGCTGGCAGAATCTCTTCGAACCTTGGCAAAGTTTTGAAAGATGTTGTCTGATGATTGACTCTTGTTTGCAGCTTGGACAGGGTTTTCAGTAAGATTTAAAGTAGATGGCAAAAGCTTTAGGGTCAGTGGAGAAGGAAAAAACTCGTGGCAAAGGCGCAACTTGTGAGTGCTGAAGGTGTGAGTTTTTCCGGAAAAATTTTGAAATCTGGGCTTCTTAGAATACACTTCCAGCATTCTGGAGCAAAAATTAGAGCGTTTGAACAGAACACAGGAATAATTAAATTTTGGCTTTTTTTATTACTTGACAGCACATGAATACTTTTTTTAACTGGGATAATTTCCAAAGAAAAGTTGGCGGCAAGTTCACGTGAAATAGTTGGCGAATTTTTGCCAGCAACCAGCTCTTATTGAAAACCCTGCTTGAAGCTTTTGATTCTTTAGCCTCAAATCTTCACTAAATAATAATAATACTAATGATAATGATAATGATAAAAAGGATAATAATAATAACAATAATAATAATAATTTACAGCAACATTAACTTTTTACTTACTGAATGGTTTGCTGCTGCGAGGGGAAGATGGAGAATGCGAGCCTGCAGCATCCAAAGAGGACAAGGATGATGCACTGCCGTTCAGTGATCTAGGACTTCTATTGGGAAGCTGGATGTTCAACCCTGCATTCGGTTATAATAAAATGTCAAAAGGTGTAATGCAAAAGATGGTTAAATAATTCAGAGAGAATGAATCCTACAGTAGAACCCAAATTAATTAAAATTCCATGCTTTTTGATGTAACAAAGAAGGAACACGTTTAAGCCAACTGTCTACCGCAGGAAAAGCAAGCAGACACCATTATATTATCTGTCCAAATACTTACACATGGTGCATGCTGTCATGCCCATGTTTGATATATATAAACTCCAAAGCTTTAGGGACAAAATTGCAAATTTTTCACAACTATATTGTCTCGCAATTCCCAGAAGTGTTGAGTACTCAAAAAAAACACAACAAATGTTGCTTCATGTTAGAATTATAACAATTATATCGAACATAAAAGTGACATTATAAATGGGGGTAGTCAACAGCCAACCAGACTGGAGAATTTTGTTGTACACGTACATGTATGACAAAATCAAATAATTTAGTAATTTATACAATCATGTGAATTCTATGTGAGCTGTGATTGGTCGTTGCCCATGATCTATTAGAGTACAGATACATGGATGACATCGAAAGAACCTTGTTTTCTTTGTTTTGCTCAACACGGTGCGCGGTTTTGAAAATAATTATTTGTGAGATAATTTCGGATTAATTAGCAAGTGAAAACCTGGTAAAAAGTTTAGCAAGAGCTATTGACAAAGGAGAAAGATGGAGAAACGGAGACAAAAAGAGTCCTTGACAACTTGAGAATGCCTAAACTGCAAAAAAATTTTCACAGCAGTTGCCAATGTGTGTCATCACTAAAAGAGACTCACTGTTTTGCAAAACGTTTTCACCATTTTTCTGCTTAATTGAGCAAGTGAAGACACTGAAAAACTTTTCAAAGAAACTGTATAAAAGTAGGATAAAGAAGAAAAGAAGAAGCAAAGACAAAAAGTAGCATTTGGGACCTAAAAGCCAATCCATAAACAATTATCAGTACAATGCAGGTACTATGTGTATCGGTCTTAATACTGTTCGGAGCATTCTATATAAAACAAATAGATTCCATGCTGCTGTGAGTCTGTTCAGTAATAGATCACAGAAGATGTCAAAATGTGGTAAAAACATCAGTGACCCACCTGTCTGCAGCTCGTGTGCCACTTCTTTGTTTTTATTACCACATTTTGACATAGTCTGTGATCTCTTACTGAACAGATGCAAGCTAACACGGAATCTATTTGTTAAATAGACCTTCCTCTATCGAGCATTTGAAATGGTGTCTGCTCAAGTTACTAACTCCGTTTTACAACAAAATTCCAAGGGGTTCAGCCTTCAAAATGTCACAGCTGGAAGTGTCTGTGTTTGATCAACACATTATATAAAACTTTACTCGAGTCAGTGCATTTTGTAATAACAAAGTTTTATAGAGTGTATTGACATGATGTTACGACAGCCATATTGGTGTTCCAAACAAATCCTGTGGGAGTCAGACTCTTTTCTTATGTAAGAAAATTCTTTTTGTTCCATAAATTTGCATGGACGCTGGCCACGTGAGTGAATATGCTTTACAACATATTATAATAAAGAATCTTTTTTCGTTTTTTCGACAATAGGAGTTAATTTACAGCGGCTGCACAAAGAAAAACACTTCACAAACCAGAGTCATGCATTTATTTTAGGCTAACAGGTGTTGCCATATTTGCAGTAAAAATATTTAAATCACCTCTCTGGTTAATTTACTCCCACAGGTTCACATGGAGAAATGATGGAAAGAAAAATGATGAAGACTTAGTGATGATAAGATTGTTATAAGCTTACATATAACTTATTTTTCCCTTTTTTGTATAAGCTTACATTTTCTGAGATAATGCACGAGTTCAAACAAAGTTGACTCAGCCGTGCAAAATATAAGATGACCTCTGAATCCACATCTACCACATTTTTATGTACAAAATTTCTTCGAATGTCAAAAATAGTGGCTCAACGAAATACATGTATAACAGAAAACTTAAAGTCGATGGATCTTTCAGTTGAATAAACCGAATGTGTTTACAGTCACGCACCATTGCGTTGAAAATAAGAAACCATTTGAGAGCATAATAATTTGGTTTACGAAAGGCAAAAAAATACGCTTGTTAACCGCGTCGTTTCTTGTCTATATCGAAGAATCAATCTTCACAAGCGAAAAAAAAAGGAAAACGTTGAATAAAATAAAAAGACTTAGAGATAAGAGGCAAACGTTTGTTGTATTTACCTGCATTTATGGACGAGCGACCAGCGAGTTAAATGTATTGAAGACATGCGCCAGTTCTGCACGACTTAATTCGATGAACTACGCTTTCCATCGACATCAACAACGTAATTGATTGAAATAAATTATAAAGCCGAAACTCTGGTCGTCTTGCTGAAATCATGAATAAATGATAACTTGTGACGAAATGATCTCAGCTGAGTATCGGTCGATGGGCTGTCTATCACCGAGTTGAAGCCGGTCTCGTATTCAAGGTGACCTCCGCGGTCACGTTCAAGCAGGAATTTGTATACAAGAACCGGCTTTTTATTCACAGCAAAGTGCTAAATCGATAGCTACGCAAGATCAAGGAAATTAGTTCTGGATAAAATTCGCTTTTGGTAAAAACCTGAGATTATTTCTACTTCTATAAGTCTCTTAAGTTTAATTTTGAGTGAGCAGGAGGTACGCACACGTGACAAAAACCAAAAACTCAAACCTTTAAATAATTGGTTTTTGTGATTAAATTTACAAGTACACAAGCCTTATATCTATGTAAAAGCCTGCCTTAGCAAGAACTGGGTCAATTGGCCTTACCTTTAACGTGTCTTCGCGGAGAATTCGAAGACGCTTTCGACATGTTAATACATCACAGTGATGGCGAAATGTCCTCGCCAGCAAAATTCGTTTCCCCAGGTCTATTTCTCGATTGATAATGTAGGTTTTAGAGGTCATCAAGGGAAATGTAAAAAGCGATTTTATCAAAATCCGATTACGCAGCAGACATTCTAACGACCTTCAATTGCCAGACAAAGAAAATCGGTACGAAAATATTCAAAAAGCAAGTGGAGTGTTTACCGTCTATCTTCCCACAATTCAGCTCGGTAATTTCAAATCGAGGCTTCAAAAACAGATAGCGGGAACTGTCGGGAAGGAAAAGGTTCCCTGTGTTAAGGGGGATAGGATAGGGCGGGGGTGGAGGGGGGGGGGGCATAAAGAAAGTTTGGGTAGTGGTGTGCCACAGAGGCCCTTTCCCCTTTTTTCGACAAAAAGTTTTTTCATCTGCCTACCCTGTTTATTTTCTGACGCTTATTCCTTTTCTTTACGAAAGGCTTCCAGTCGAAAGTCGAAAGAGACACATTAAATAGTGAAACCTTATTTCTGTTATACCTCCTATCATACCAACCTTCTTATACCCGTTCAAAACACTGAAAACCATACCCTGTTCAGAGGTACGTCAACAGGTTGTCACTCAAGCGCGGGGGCAGGGAGCATTGCGTGACTCCAGCGACGAACGGCTGCTGAGGAGACAAGTCTGTCCCTGCATACCGAAAGGCTATAATACTTCGGCGATGGAAATTTTTGGCCAGAATAACTATTTTTACGTGTTAACTCGTTTAATCTCTAACTACATTTCCTTAAGTCCTAGGTGACATAAAAAGTATTTGTTTGGTACCAGATAATGCATATTTTCGACGTGCGTAGCAGGCGCTTGGGATTTGAAAGAACGGGGCCTCGAAAGAGAGATGCCCCCATTGAGACTGCCATTGAGTTCAAGCGCCTGCTACGCATGCTATCGACGGAAAAGAGGGCTGTCTGCAAAACGCGGACTGGGTTTTCCCTCAGTGACTGTAAACATACTCGACCAACGAACATTGGCAATGAACATTGTCGAGTTAAAAAAAAATACAATAATAATATATAACAAACAATGGCAGTAAAACAAACAAACAAACAAATATGCTGCAACGTCTACAAAAGGCAGAAAATAATGATGGCAGAACTTACATTTTTTATTTCGTTTAGGAGTGTTGTTTTGATCATGTACCTCGTCGAGACCGCACAGGGAACGCGACCTCTGTCTGATCAACGGAGCTGATCGTGAGCCCAAGGCAGGCGAAGAGGACGGTGTTCTAGAATTGAATTTTATAGTTGGAATATCCATTTGGAGCGACGTATGACGAACTTTTTGAGCCATACGAAGTAAGAAACTTGAAGCCTCGGCTGTTATGAATTCTCAGTCCACGGCGTAAAATGGAAGCAAGGATGATGTTGTGACGTTTAACCTTCTCAATTTAAGTTGTGTTGGTTCACTTCAAGATGATAATTTCCTATATTGGGCTTGCCAAAACTTATTGCATATCGATAGACTGTTCTTTTCAGTTTTTGATCTCCAGGACATAAGCAGATTTGGACAAAGATCCTTTGCTTGTCTTTCGAACTCCACTAAGTTTACTCGCTGGATTGAAAGTAAAAACCGCGCACGGATAAGCCAAGACTCTCCAACTGAGCCAACTTTCCCCTCCAATTAAGTCGCGTCTACAAATGTTTATACAATTACGGATATAATATCAAATTTACTGACTTCCTCTCTCTATAAAAACACTGGCCAATTAATTGCATTGACTTGCCTATCCAAAAATTCAGCTCGGTAGTTAGAGTAGAAATGAGTAGGTATCGCGGCTGAATTTCGAGAGAATCGGAGTCATTCCACCTATGACACGCACTGTTTGCCAAGTGGAACGCGATGAAATATGTCTGGTTTTGCATATTATTGAAGAGAACTACTAATAATGTGACCTTGGCGATCTTATGTCAAGGGGTATTATCATATTTATTCTATCAAATAACAAATTAATTCCCTCTCGGAAAAGAAATGACGTTTTATACTTGCGGATTCGCTCTGCACATGTCACCAACTCCTTGAATCGTTGATACAGAAAAAGGACATTTGTTTCCTGTGTGGAGAGATGTTTCTTTTCGCAAACAACGTAGAAAAATTAATACAAAGAAGTAATTAAAAAAGCAATAAATGAAACTCAAGAAGAACTTAGTTATCAACTATGAATTTAAAAAACGAAGAAAGAAAGAAAGAATCATTGATTTGTTAAGTGCAAGCAACGTATCGTGAAATAGTTGAGCTTCAACCAAAAATCTGTCATATCTAGAAAATTCGTTAATGAAGGAGACCTAAATATAATCACGAACCGAACAACTTGATTCCAATAAATAATGTACATGAATGAAGTGATGTCGTCGACAATTTCACTCACGGTTTCTCAAGTAGGGGCTTTTCTTTAGGCGACAGGAATATTAATATCACTATAAAGAGCCATAGTGGCTCTTGACATCACACAATTTTTGACCATTTGAAATTTCCCACCATACCCCCGTAAAAAAGAACCCTCAAATTCTGGCTGCACAGTCCACAGTTAGCAACAGTTGTTTGCTGTAAGAGGTAACTTATCTATAGCTTCCTCCTTCCCTAGCTAGCCCCTGTACCAAGGCGGCATCTTGCCAGGCGTTTTCGGTGCCATAGCAAACTCTCTCAAACCACGTGACCCGAAACGCATCGGCCGTGCCAAGTGTCTTGTTCTACGAGAGGACGGCGTAATGGGTATTTAAAAAGAAACCTCTGCTTTGAAGGGAAGTCCATTGCAGGAAAGTTTTCTGGCCAGAGAAACGCTCAGCTAACCATTTTAAAAAGCAAACAAACAAACAGCAAACAGCATAGATGGGTGTTTATTTTATTTTCCCAAAACATTTAATGAAAATTCGCACTTTTACCCATCACCAGCCCCTCTCCGGACTCGGCCAAGCTGTATCGGATGTGACGTCACCTGTCAAGCTTGTCAAGAGAATTAGCCTGGGATGTCACGTACTCGGTTCCAAGGCCTCCTTCGCTCACTCGGATAGCCCGAACTGACCTGGAGACGAGGCTGCTTAATTCAGTGTTTTGAGGAAAAACACCTCTACTTCATCTGGATCGAACTTCATTGTACCTGCCAAGACAGTGCTGGGGTTTTTAACTTCACTAGAGGCACAGTAGGAAGTCCCTAAGTGGGAGGAAGAAGTTCTCCCTCGGGGAGTGTAATTAATGCGGATATCCGTTTTCCCAAATGCTGGTCCCGTGTATTTCCAGTTATAAATTGCGTGTGATGATTCTTTAACCATGCTCTTGAAGGGCCCAAGTTGCTCGTTATTCCGAAGAGAGAAAATGAACGCGTTAGATGTTTCCCTGTAACCTTCAGTACGCTCTGAAAAAGAGGGTAAAAAAAAAGCAAGAAAATTAGGTTTCTGACTTAAGCTTCTCACTCTCCAGAGAAACAAAAGTCAAAACTTTTGGACAAAATCTCCAAATTTCATTTTGTGAAATGCTTCTAAACAAATAGTTCCACGTGAAAGCACTGCTAAAGAGGTTTCATTTGAATGGCCACACCAAAGGATCTTTTTAACAGCTTTCAAAACTCCATCAATTACTCTGAGAGAAGAGAACTATGTTACCATGGTTACAGGATATAGACAGACCCAGCAATGATTAAAAGGTCACCCCACGACCCATGTAAGGTAATCAGGAATTATAGAATCTGGGAATTTTCTCTTGTTGTATCCGGAATCCTAGACTTTGGGATCCGGGATTTATTTTCCACTGACAGGGAATCCGGAATCAAGTACCTGGAATCCGGGGATCATTATACGTTTCTGGGAACCTGCCCACCTACCCCTCCCATAAGCCAACATTTTGCCCTAAGTGAGAAGTAAGTGTTAAAGCTGGCTTAGGGGAGGGGTAGGTGGACAGTTTCCCGTTACGTATAAGGATCCGAATCCCGAATCTACAACGTGGAATCCTGGGGGACAAAGGAGGCTCTGTTACGGGATATGGACGGACCCAACACTGATTACTATGATTTGGCAAACAAATTCCATGTTCTTCTTTTAACAAGACCCACTTTTAAAAGCAGAGGAAACCCCTACGCTTGTCTTTCGTCACGAACTATACATGTTTCTTTTCTTTTCCACAAAAAACAATATGAAAAAAAACAAAAACAAAAACAAAAACATTCTTTTAAGTTTCTAGTAACAAAATGTAAATTTATTACCCCATGAAATATCAGTGAATCCACCAAATACATATTCATCCTTTTTGATTATAGTAAGCGTGTTATTTTTCCCGTTACACCTCTGATGAAATATGAAGTCGTATCTACCATGCTTGGAGGCACGATAGCATATTTTCCAGTGAGAGATATTTCCAACGGCGGGAGCTAGGAATTGCTTCAGATGGCACAAATAAAACCCATTTTTGGCTATTATGACTGAATCCATCGTAATCTCTGCGAAGAAATTATCATCATCATCATCATCATCATCATCATCATCATCATCAGTACTGTTATTATTATCATTATCATTATTATTATTATTATTATTCGCAAAGTGCGCGTGCAGTGGGATCTAAAGTGGGATCACGATCATAGAATAACCAGAAATCCCAGGCCCTCCCCTAAGAGTCTCCCCTCGACCTTTCCCCAGTCCCCTAGACCAAATTTTTGTTCTATACCTCTCACCAGCTGACCGCGGATGTTGATTTAAAATGGCGGCCATATTCAGCTGATTATTACAAGGTAAGTTCATTGATATTCCGTTTGTATTTATCCTAGAATGAAAGGTTTATCTATTTTGTAGAAGTACAGGTTTCTATTAAGGTATTTGCGCTTACCACGTGTAAAATTGCCCGTAGTTAACTCCAATGGACAGAAGGAAGTGGAGCTCTTCGTGGTAAATACTGGTTGACATTCCACGGCAGTTGTACAAGGGAATTTGCTGCACGCATTCTTACAAGTTTTAAAAGAAAATGAGAACATCTTTTAGGGTAAGTAGCTTTAAAGTTAAAAGATTTACTTAGTTTCTTAGTAGATTGATAGATTTGATGCAGAGATGCCAACCTCTGGAAAAGTTGTGTAGGAGCTGCTCGTAAGGTCTCTCCTGATTGGTCGCAGAAAACAATGAAATGTCATTCTTTCAATTGTTTCAGTATTGTTTGGGTTCAGGTTTAGGCATCATTGGTAACTTCTCTTCCGAGCAGCTGCTTCATCCCTCTGGAAATCTAAAAACTGGAGACACCCTCCTTAGCGTTACCCCCCCCCCCCCCCCCCTGCATTTTCCCCAGGCCACTTTTTTATGGATTTTCAGGGGCGTCGATTCTTACAAATCACTTTTTTTATTCCAGTTACATTTGTTCACAAACTATATTAATGTCAAATCTTCTTGAGATATTCACACACAAAAAAAAAGTTTATACAATTGTCCGGTAAATTTGACGTTTTGACTGGCGAAATATTAGTCTGGTCTGTCACTCTGACCGGGCACTTTTGATCCAAATTAAACTTTTAATTATCATACTTTAAAGACACTTGTGGCAAAACATTGTTCCGTTATTTAGCTAACACACACATTGACAATCAAAAAATAATAATCTGCTATCGAAAAGTAAATCAGAATTAAATTTTTGTATAATTTTTGTTTTCAAGTGTGAAGTCAGAGAAGACTGATCAAGTGAACTGATACAACTGTTACTCCTGTCTGTGATTAATATTGTGCAATTAAAGCAGTGAAATAGGTTGTTTTGTTATATTCTTAATTTTGGTCTTTCACTTGGAATTTTTTTGTCTGACCAGACTGTTTCCTTGTCAGGTCAGGTCTGGTCTCTGACCTGACAAATGACCTGCTTATTAAAAAAAATTATTTGCAGCCTTGCTATGATATGGTTTGGTAACTCTTCTATGAATTCATTCACCCCACGAGGTGCGTCCAAGAATATAATTTGAAGCTCTCATTTAATGGCAACTCAAGAGTACGTATTTTAAAAAGGTTTATACAAATCTCTACACTCCTCCCCCTCCCCCCACTGAACAGATTATATATTTCCAGGGGGAGGAGGGGATCTTTAAGACAAAAAATATTAAGATTACAGAAATGTAAGCTTATGGTAAAACTTCACTGGAATTTCCAGTGGGGCAGGAGAAGAGGTTCTTGGAAAAAAATTCCTTTTTGGTGTATATGTTATGATCTTACTTTTGTTCCACGATAAAAGTAATGTTTTACTTCCACCAAATCCTGCTTCTTTGAATCATGCGTCGAATTGTTCAGCTCACATGTGTGTTTTCCATCATTTTTACCAGCTTCATTGTTAAAATTAATGCTGACACAATCGTGTTCGTAGTAACACTGCAACTCGCACTCATCCAGATCTCGAACTTGTAAAGTTTTTATGGTGTGGTTTAGCAGGCGCTTGCCATTAAAGAAAAGAAAACTTGGGAATGTCAGTTCACGACATGAATCTGAAAAGATCACAAAAGTGGGCGAAGTCATTCTCCCTTTTGCACTGTTAAATCTTATATTTTGAAGACTGGCATTTTGAGAACACAATAAAATGGGTTAAAAATTCCATCACATTACATACCATTAAACACAGATGGTATATGTCATGGACACCTAGCTATTAATGCCCGGTCATTAGAAGAAAATCTTGCCAGCTTAGCTGCCAATCAAAGCGCGCATACTATTGTAGCCATATAATGAATTACATTACATGTACACTCCTAATACCTAAATCTAATAATCAAAAAAAGACTCAGATTAGCTGCTTATTGCACTACATAATCGCTTTCGACTATACTTGCATTACATGTTTTGTTTTCCCTTTGATGGGATTAGTTTTTTGTCTTTCCATCAATTATACCTACAAACACACGTGAATGAGACGAAATTTTAAGGAAACACCAGGAAAGCAAAGGTCTATTAATCCCAGTCACAAATTATGAGAAATAATGTGCAGTCAAACACCCTTAATACGGACACTAAGAGACATAGAACAGGCGCGGATCTACACCAGTTTCCACCGTTTTACGGAAGTCGGTCAGATTTTTCGTATAATAAATATATTTTTGATCAAAAAAAACTTCTTGGGTTGAAATCTGGAAAATGGTTTGGACAGTCAGTGAATATCTTGTCTGAATTACTCAGAAACCCAGGAAAAGGGACTTTGGGGGTCAAAATTCCAAAAAATTTCCCACGGGAAATAGGTCAGTGTTTATCCTAGATCCGCTCCTGTAGAAAGTGTCCTTATTAAGCAGGTTGAATTAAGAGAAAACTGTAAGGGCTTTCTTTCCCCAGGGACAAAACAAACTGTCCGCGTGTAATAACGAAGTATCCATATTAATCGGGTGTCTGTAAAACGGCGTTTGACTGTATTTCAATTTCGGAAGAAAAATGTCCGAGATCTCGAGACAGGAGTCGAACTTACGACCTTACGGCTACTAGTTTAGAAGAATGCTCAACCACTGAGCTTCAGGAAACTCGTGGGAGCTAACTGTTGTTTTGTTCAGAATTGTAAGAACGGAAATTTATAAAGTATGTGGTTGCCTCAGTTGACGAAGACTCTCGAAAACTGAAAGAATGGACATAAAAAGCAAGTCTCAGACTACAAAACTGAGCGTTCTAAAATGTTATAGTGATACATAGATTTAGCCCGGGCTGAAGGCGAAGCTCTCTTTAATGTTTTTACTTCACTCAAAAAAAATAAAATTGTGTTATGCTAAAGAAACGGTGAAGACAACGAGAGCGGTAAAAAACAACAACAATAGGTTTAATTGGCAAAAAAACAACTTTGCACGTGCGGCACACTCTCTTCCCTAATTAGCCAAAGAAAAAAAGCTTTGCTCGTGCAGCACACTTTTTTGTACATTTCTTTGCCGTTGTTTTGCACGACTACAACGTGAAACTTCCGGAAACTTCCTAATTACACGTTTTGTGGAGGAAATGTTTATGCATGTGTTCCTGTTCACTTTTTTTTTTCACTACTGCTCATTTTCACCTTGGTGCAGTGTGGCCGCTAGCATTTCTCGTTTTCTCACCGCCGCTATAAAATTTTCATACTTTTCTTCCAACGAAATTGGTCTCTTTTGCTTTTTTATTTCTCGCTTTAGCTCTTTCTCTGTTATCCACGTTAATGTAGACGTTAGAATTTAGTCGAAAGAAAGACTCGGCTTTGTTGTTGTTGTTTTTGTCTCTCTTAAAGTCCGGATGGCCTTGCGATTTACCGCAGAAACGCGCGGGGTGCTTGAAATGCAAAACCTCACCCCAACTCACATGAAGGTGTGGACTCACGTAAGTACGGAGATTTTATCAGAACCAAACTTTCTTTGATACATAGACGACCAGATTTTCTTACGCATGGTTCTCCGCTGCGCGCGCAAACGCGAGAGCTCCGCGAAAATTTCTGTCATTTAGCTTGTGTACGTTTGGGACAAAAACTGTTCTTGAGAAAGGAAAGTTAAGGTGCTGTAGCTTTACACGTCTAGGAGGGATGGCATAGATACTTTATAAGAAGCTAAATTACAAAATCCTGCATGCACAGACGTCTAGTGTCCGTGTGTCCCGTACTGTAATTATCAATTTCAACGAAATAGTATTTTTCAAGTATACCAGGCCACAACAAAAAGACCACATCAAATTGAACTTCTTCGATGGCAGTCTACGCGAATGAAATTAATGGTATACCCACCCTCGGACAGAGCTCGGAGTGGTTCACCTGAAAACAAGAAGACCCCCAGAATATGTAGAGATAGTGGAAAAAACATGTCTCTTTCTATTTCCGTGCTCTTTGGAAGGAGACTGGTTTACAAATAAATTTGAATTCCAAAACGCTATTCTAAATTGCGTTCATGAATTGCGTAGTGTATGTGAACACCAGTTGTTTGTTATTTATTGCTGTCGCTTTAAAAAACTATAACGATTGTAAAGAGGTTTCTTAATTATTTAAATCATTTTCAGAAAGTCTAATATTTAGGTCCATGGTCATTATTAAACAATAACCTTAGACGCAAATGACTTTCGGAGTGCGCTTAATCGCGTTTCATTAAAAACTACTCAGCATAATCTCCTGGCACATTCTAAGAATTAAATGATGGGTACACGAAGTTTCTCTCATAAGCGTCCTATATTCTCCACGCCACTTCCCTATTTCTAGTTATCTTTTATTTTTTGTATTTTTACTATGTTGTGTTTCAAATACTAAAAAAAGTTTTGTTTTCACATTTTTTACTTACTCCAACGAGATAATACAACCACCGGTACGTTTCACTAATAGGGAGTTTAAACGAATACGTCGGCAACGGCAAAGGGAAAGTCAAAAAGGGAATAGGCCTAATGACCAAAACAACAATTCTTCACGTGCATCATGCTTTTTTATACATTTCTTCGCCGTCACTGTATGACTACAACGAGAAACTTTCCACTGTTACTACCCTGGCTCCAGAGGTTCGTTCTCAAAATACCTAAGATGAAATAAACTGTCCTTAAAAAATGACCTCTGGAACCCAGGGTACACTGTGACGTATTATAGAGCACGTAAGCACTAGAGGACAAATCTTTCTACTACCTTCGATCGATACTATGGCCGCCTTTAAGACGCTGTTTTGGACAAGCTCGCTTGTACACCCAATTGTATATAAACTCTGTTCAGGAAAGGGAAACCGAGCAAACCAGTAAGTTTTTGGTAGAAAAGAAAAAGAGAGAGCTTTAGCACCGGCAACGGCAACGTTCTAGTTTTATTGCTCTCATTCTTTCTCGTTAATTTTCTTCAAATGTTCGAAATTTTTTCTGGATTCAAAATTCCAAGCGACTATGTATCTAAGTTAGGAAAAAGAAAAAACAATCGTTCTCATCTGGTCACTTTCTCCAGAAAAGGTGAACTTGACGTCATAGTCGTGCAACAACGGCTAAGGAATGTACCAAAAATCGTGCTGCACGTGCAAAGTTGTTGTTTTGCTAATCTTAACCTATTACTTTTTTGCCGTTTTGACTGCCGTCGTCATTGTCATTGCTTTTAATTAAACTCCCCAATTAGGAAATTATCTCCGCTACCCTTCCTTTCCCTGGGCATTTTTGTCTTACGTTTACATCCGTTACGATCAAGTAATTGTACACAATCAGAATCAAACAATTCAAAACTGCAACTAGATGTAGGCAGTTGGGTATTTACAAGCCCGACAAACGAGACGTGGCCGAAGAGTTAAACTCGAGCTTTTGAATCCTCCGGAACGGAACTGGAACGCTGGACTTTGGGCTGACTGCTCGGCAAACGAAGCATGCCGGAAGAGTTGAACTCGAGCCTTCGAGTCCTCCGGAGTGGATCTGGAACACTGGATCTCGACTGACTGCTCCGCAAAAGGAACATGGCCTGATTGTTCGGTCACGCTGCTTCTCTCATTGTCTGTTTAAGAGTCATTCAAGGTAAAAAACCTCCAATTCATCCGGATCGAACCTGTTTGCACCGGCCAGGATGGTGCTGTAGTCTTTTACTTCATTTGTTGCAAAGTAAGACTTTCCAAGATGTGACGATGATGAATCCACTACTTTACGAGTGTTGATACGAATATCTGTCCTACCAAATGTCGGTCCCATGTACATGTGATTATAAATTGCGTTTGATGATTCTTTTACCATGCTCTTGAAGGGCCCAAGTTGCTCTTTATTTCGAAGAGAGAAGATGAAAGCCTTGGTTGTTTCTCTGTATACAGAATCAGCACCGCCTGCAGTGGAAAAAGAGAGAGAGAGAGAGAGAGAGAGAGAGAGAGAGAGAGAGAGAGAGAGAGAGAGAGAGAGAGAGAGAGAGAGAGAAAAAAAAACACATTTTATAAATAGAAGAGAGAGAGATAGTTTTTTTTAACACAAATATCAAAAAAAACAGCTCTTTTACAGAGATATAAATAAAAAATAACTAAACAAACACAAAAACAATCTATACCATAACAAATACATATATATTTTATTAATATTGGTTGATAATGTTTTTCAACGAACTGAGGAGAGAGAAAATGTCTGTTTTTTTTAAAAGAAAGAAAAAGAAGTATGTGTTGTATGTAAGAAAAAAAAAAACAGCGCGGCAAAAAGAAAAAAAAAAAAAAAAGGGGGAGAGAGAGAGAAAGAGGGAGAGAGAGAGAGAGAGAGAGAGAGAGAGAGAGAGAGAGAGAGAGAGCAAAGGAAACACCTTTTTTAAATTGAAAAGAGGGAAATTGTTACTTTTAACACGAATATCCCAAAAAACTGCTGTTTCCAACAGTTACCAATAAATAATAACTTTACAATTGCAATGAAACTGTATACCATAGAAAATTCATTAATCGTTTCTGGGAAACTGCCCACCTACCCCTCCCCTAAGCCAACATTAACACTTACTTCTCACTTAAGGCAAAATGTTGGCTTAGGGGAGGGGGTAGGTGGGCAGTTTCCAGGAAAGGTATAATGATCCGAATATTTGTCTTGTAAGGCTGCGTTCACTCGGCACCGAACGAATTTTCGACCAGCTAAAAAATCTGACCGGACAATTCGTTCACTCGCACGGGACCGTTCGACATTTTCGCTCGGTCAACACCGAACCTTGAAGGGATAGGGGTCTAAATTTTCGTACGGTCAAGGTTAATTGATGTTCTGTATGAACAGAACTGTAAACGCACGAATTTTTAACTTACCTTCTTTAAAAGACAGTTTTGATTCGTGAGTGGTAATTAAAAACGCGCAACATCCCGTTTCAACTCGTTTTATAGCAATGTCGCGAAACAAGTTGCTCGTTTTTGTTGGCGATTTTATCGTCGCTTACGCTGTAAAGGGAGAAATCAGTGCCAGATCCTCCCCTGGGAACACCCTATTAAGTATACTTGATACGGCTAAGTCCAAGAAATTTAAAAAAAAAAACTTACCCCATGGAATGTCAGTAAAACCTCCAAACACGAACTCATTCTCTTTTATTATCGTAAGGGTGTTGTTCTTTCCGTCGCACCTCTGGTGAAATATTAAGTCGTATCGGGTATGAATAGAGCGGCGATAACACAGATGCCACTGAGAATTTCCTCCAACGACAGGAGTAAGGAATCGATCGAGCATGTACAGATACATTCCATTATTAGATATTATAACTGAATCCATTCTCACTGAAAAATTGAAACCATATAAATTAGTGATTAAAAGAAATATGTTTATGGACAGTATGACAGTCACATGAGTGTAATTAAAGCAAAAAAAAAAAAAAAGAAAAAAGAAAAACCCTATCCTTATCCATTTACAGTCACGCGATACTCGGCGATTGACTGAATGTAAGAAAGAAGTCTTTTTCTTTGTCTCTTAGGGAGGGAAAAGCTGATGAAAATTGCCAATCGCTCACGTGTTTGTTTGTTTTCACATAGAAGGCGTAACGTCAAAGAAATGTACTAAAAAAGTGTGATGCAGGTGCAAAGTTGTTGTTTTGCTCATAAAAACAATTGTTTTTTTGACGTTGTCGTTTTCGCCCACATCGTGGTTGCTTAAGCTTCCTAATAACGTACAGTAAACAGAAAAATGCATGTTACACAAAGCCTTGTTACAAGTAATCTGATTAGCGACCTCTAGTAATATTCACTGACCTTTACACTGTCCAATAACAATGCACTCACAACGGAATGATCCATGTTCATTCACACATTTCTCGTTAAGTGAACAGTTATTGAAGCTGGAGGACACACATTCGTCAACGTCTGAACAACACGAAAAATATGTAAATGGTGACGCTCTGTGAGGGTAACTTTTAAAACAAAACATCCATTCGTTCTCTAAACTGCGTAGGAACTAAAAATGATGCCAAAAATTTATACTCAAAAGTAATAACGTTGTGAGTCTGAGAGTAGTTATAATGAATAATAAAAAGGTTATTGAATCATTCAACATAGTATGTTTAATGCACCTTTCCATTGTTTTGAAAAGGTTTTTATTTTCAACAAATGGATCGAAGGAGCTGGTCACGGAAGACAGGTGGAACAATTAGGAATAATAACCTACTGTTCCATTTCAGAGGCCACAGTAATGACTTGCTGGTTCTAAAACAATAGAAAGGTCCACTAAACCGGATAATGCCCTTCTTCAAAAATCAATCATAACCTCGCCCTACGCGCTCGGTCATTAGTTTTAAGAAGGCATCGGAGCTGTTAGAATATTCCCCTTAAAATACTGACCTTTACAGATAGTACCTTCTTTAACAAAACCGGGGAGACATTCACAACGAAACGAACCAGGCTCATTGATGCATTTCATGCCCCCCGGCATACCTAGCTTGCAGTCGTGCAATTCCTCATCGCATTCATCAATATCTGTCAACATTGAACAAGAATGGCGATATAAAAATGAAGTAGAAAAACTATTTTTAGATCTACAGAAAATAAGAGTCAATCCATCGTAATTTGTATCAGTGGCTATTGTGAGTTTGCCCAAGAGTCTGTTTCGATGTTGTGTACAATTGCATTGTCGGACACTATCGCCCCTTCAATAGTTCTGTAGCGATACTCACGCTAACGTCACCTATTGATATTTTAAATGTGCCCAACAGAAGGGCATTAGTTCTTCTAACAAAAGCGGGAAGTTCTTTTGTTTTACTCGTTGTCTGTAAACAGTGATGTTTCCTCTTGACTTTTGCAAGCTCGCACAGGAGTGTGGGTAAAAATTCGTCCCCCAAGACGCTCCCACAATGCAGTTCGACACAACCCCGACCCAGTCTCTTGCGAAATCAGTCTCAAAATGGCCAATATCTGAGCCTGATTAACAGACTAAGGGTGCGTTCACACTTGGTTCCCGGGCACTGGTTCCCGAGTACGATACTCGCTGGGCCCTAATGTGAACGCACCTTTTGTTAAGTACCCGCGCTAGAATTTGGGCACGGTACGTGCCGGTGCCCGAGTATAAGATCGAGACCTTGTAGTCGGGCACTAAAGTGAGCACCGGGTCCGTTTCATTGTTTTCGAACATTAATATAACCGCCGTGACGTCATGTGCAATTACTCTATATTTGCAAGGGCGCGATGAACTATAGAGTGTTTACACATGACGTCATGGCGGCCATATTGGTGTCCCAAAACAGTGAAACGGCGGCCATGTTGGTGTCCCAAACCAATCCTCTGGGAGTTGAACTCTTTTCTTATGCAAACGCTTTCTTTTGTTCCAATAAATTTGCATAGATGCTGGCCACGTGAGTGAAAACACTCTTTAAACTTGGCTCTTGGCGAAGAGTATGAGTTGTTTTATGCATCTAGCTTCTGCGAATTACCTGTACATTGGTCGTTTATAAACTTGAACCCATCGCGACAGACACATCTGTAGCGTTTTTCTGTAAACCCAACTTCACATAACTCGTTTTCTCCTGGGCACGGATCATCGTTAATTTGGCAAAAGTTCTGAGTTAAAAAGATACCCCATTAGATGTTTTATTAATTTGCAGCCTTAAATCTGATGTGCATTATTTGTTTTTCAAGTTCTCCGTCATATACTACATCACAAAAGTTAATCCGCAATGTGGGTTCCACAGTCTATATCCTACAACACCTTTATCACAATCTCCATTACCATTGTTATCAGCACATCTCATTTATATCGCTTCTTGGAATCGCTATTTTCAACATCACATCGTCAACATCATCATCAGAATCATACTTCCCATCACCATCATCAAAAACAATACCGAGAACAGAATTATGATACATCTGTTATCATCAGCATTGTCAACATCATTATTGTCATCATTATTATCATCCATAACAACAACCAAAAATCATCATCATCAGAACCATAATAATGATCTTCATCACCTCTATCACCATCATTGTCATCAATATTGTCAACGTCATTCATCATCAGCAGCAGCACCATTAGCAATATGGTCATCATCATTATCACCACCATCATCATCATCATCATCGTCGTCGTTATTACATGTATGCCCTGAATCGTTATTGTCATCATTCAGTAGTCAGTACGTACGAACCAAAAGTCAGTTTTAACATACCTCAATAGCAAAGTGAATGTAATGTTCCTTCTTTTTCAGAGAGGACAGTGAAGGGCTCTCGTCAGTGGCATTGTTAAGTTCGCATGTTCTTGTATGAGCACCTCCAGGACCCACGTTAATAGACACGCATTTTGGTTCCAAAAAACATTTCACCCTGCAGCCCCCTTCATTAAGTACCTTTTCAGTTCTAATCACGTGATCTGGAAGCACTCTGTCTGGTATGGGTTCCTTGAATATTATGATACGGTTGTATTCTATCGACAAAACTGACATAAAAAGTAAAATATAGATCATGAGCCCATCGCAACAAATTCGCTCTAGAAAATTGCCAAATTATACATACCTGGATTTTTGAAAACCGGGTTAGCAAAAATATCAGCAATTTAAAACAACAAAACCCGTTCAAAGGCCGATTAAAAGTCTTTATATGACGCTAGGCAGTACGTTAATGGCCCCTAGAAGCATTCCAGCGAGTCCAAATTTAAAATGACGCAAATTTTAGAATGTTTATTCAGTAAACTGACTTCGCAAAGTTTCAAACCGGTGTCATTTCAGTCCAGAAATTTTTAAGTTGAGTGAGCTGCAGCGAAAAAGTGCCTGCTTAAGGCTTACATAACAACTTAAATAGTTAGCAAAACACTACTTTTTTGCGGTCCGATAAACAACAGGATTCCTCATGGAATAGACAACAAACTGAATGAAACATAGTGCACAAATCATCACCTTCTTATCTGCAAAAACCGGCCCATGGTTCAATGCCATTAGAGCCAGCTGAAACTAGACCTAGATCCAATTTTCCTCAGTCGAGAGTTGCTTTTCCAAGGTACAATCAGCTAAGCTAAACACCGACGAAACAATCTTAATGACTGGCACAGAATATTTTGGAGAAACTACAGTTCAACCACGCGATCACATACCTGTCAACATCACGGAATTGTGGGTAGGGAAAAAAAGGAAGCGGGGGGGGGGGGGGGGGGGTAAAAAAAGGAAGCGGGGGGGGGGGGTGGGGGGTGGGGGTGAGATAGATAGTAATTCTGTCAAGACAAGCCAAAAAAAATACGACATGAGCAAAAAACACAGTAAACAAGCTATTAGACAGGGGAAGTTGAGAAAAATTACAAAATGTTTGCTAACTCGGTTTTCATAACTCCAGGTAGATATTACAACGAATTTTACACCTCAGCCATCCAAATGCCGTATCATCATATATCTCTAGATCTGCAGCTGCATGTTGTAAATTTATGTGGTTATTTTGTCTTCAATAAAGCATAATAGCTCTGCAGTTTTTTTCTCTAAAGAATGAAGATTTCTAAAGGCCTTTATCTTGTTTTCTTCTCATTTGAAAGAACTTAAACGCATATTGATAGAATCTTAACTTTTTTTTTGTAAATTAGTGCTTTCAGTGGCAATATTATATTAAAATTGGTAAATTTGAGTGAATGAAAAACTGTTTCCCTGTTTGCAACATCTAGTACTTTTTTTCTGCGAGGAAAAACCTGAACATTTTACACTGAAAAACGCACCCATTTAATCGTCACCCCTACTAAACGGAAATTTACAATTATTGTATCAGTTTTATGGTTTACAGGCTATTATTTAGGTTAAGAGTTTTGTATATCATACAAGTTCGTCGGATTATTGAAATACGAAAAAACAAGAAAAGCTCAAAAATTGAAAAGATTGCCTGCAGATGGGAACAAAACTTACCAGTACATAAAGAAGCCCCCAAAATAAGCCAAGTAATCCATGCAAGTAAAAGAAACGAATTTATAGACGCCATGAAAGTTCACTTAACTAGTTGCCGTAGAACTGGTGTCGGGCTCAACTATCTCCTTTTTTAATATTACCCGTTTTGCGCTGTTTATTCATTAATAAAGCATTTCGAAATTAGAAACGCCCTTGTCTAAGCCCACGTCTTGGTAAAAATGGAATTTTTTAAAGTAAGTAAGGAAGGATTTTTGCAAACTGTGCGTAAACTAATTGAAATTTTATTCGACTAACAGAGAGCTCAGTGCCGATAAGAGTCAGTTATCAACGTCAAATTTTCCGTCCTTTCTCGTCTCTCTAGTTTTCATCCGTCAAAAACAAAGTAATGAAGAAGGGCGAATTACCATAGATGACCATGAGAACTCAATTAAAAAAGATTATGATAAATATTTATTGGCACGCGCTAGGGGTTTTTTCAGGTGATTTTGTTTTCTTTTGTTTTCTTGTTTTTAATTGTTTTTTTGTTTTCATAATATAGCCACCGGAATCATACAGTGTAAGGCAAACATCTATGCCACTCAGTGCTTTTAAGTTTTAATGCGGGACCCATTTACGTGTATATTAAGTATTTATCAGATACTTACACATAGGGCATTGAAGCTGTGTTTTTCAACAATTTTAAGTCAATGCAAATCACCGTGGAAACCAACTTACCCTTAAGATACTAAACAAATACTTAAACTAGGTGGTACGATTTGTAGATCATTCCTTCCTCAAACAATACTTACATGAATCAAACTACACGCAAGGTTGCAGTAATTCCATAATAGTTATTCTTCAAAAGGCATTGGGTCGAATCTCGTACATCTTGCATTGAAGTTGCAACAATAATCATTGTCAAAACTAGATATACAAAAGACACTGTAGTTTTGAAGGCAGCGGAATAGAGCGATTTTCGTATGACCTTGAAATGAAAACGCGCGAACAAAACAGAAACAACAAACGAACGGAAATAGAGCGATTTGATTGGTTTATCGAACGCTCGGGTGAAAAACCTCACGCCTGAGAACTTTCTAGAAATCATCCGTTACTTCGCTTTGACGTCATACTGCAACACGATTGGGCAGTCGAACAGTGAGTTCTCCATATTAGGGTTTTCTTTGGCGAGAAAACGAAGAGGCCATGTTTTGATCTTTTCATCCATTGGCTGATAAAACAAATAACGAACACTTGCCGAAACCATTTTTCAAGGTCATGCGAAAATCGCTCTATCATTAATGGGAATCCAACGGAAGCTGGCTACATAAGTGCCGTGCATGCGCAATAGCAACCTTGAGATTAGGAAAAAAGATAAGGCGGAATAGATTTCGACTGGACATCCTTTTTTAGTTCATCGAGTATGAATGCATCAAATGCGTAGAACATTCTCTCTTCTTTCTGGTAAAATGAATGAACCAGGTGGTAGGGGTAGGGGTGAGGTTAGAGCGATGGGGGGTGGCATCTTGGCGGCCATTTTGAATGACTTTGAATGACTCGCCATGACGGTGATGTGCCTGCTTGTACTGTTTATGGACCGCTTCTCGGGTTATAACCTACCATACATACAGTTGTCACCCTTCCAACCTGGTAGACAAAAGCATCGATATCGCTTCTTGGTAAATCCTGATTGACAGGTACCACCGTTTTGACAAGGATAATTGCTTCAAGCGTTCTTAAAAATAAAAGAAAGAAAAGAAAAACGGCTAATTAAAACTTACTTAAATTCTTCCGAATACATCGCCCTTGCTGACCTTACCTTACTTAAGCACTGAGTCATCTTAAGCACATCTCATCTCTTTGTTCTATTCCTACTACCTAATTAAAGAAACACCCTTTTCTTCGTATGAGCGGCTACTCCAAAGCCGCTAGCCTTACCCCTATCTGTAAAGTTTACGAAGAAAAAAAATTATAGGATCTAGCGCCGCTCATTGGGAGTTGTGGCTATAGAACTTGGTGCCCTTCGGCTTCACGCAGCCACAGACCATCCTGAAAAGCTTACTAGCCAAAAATGTCAAAGAATAAAAGTTTCACACGACCGATGAACAAAAACCCTTGGTTACTTGTGTCTGAATCACCAGCAGCCTCATATTTATCACCGTTGGGTGGTGTCACTAGTTAATACTTACTTGTGTTCCACGATAGAGGTAATTTTCTACATGTACCAATTCCCCGTTGAGAATTTCATGTGTCGCGTTGTTCAGTTCACAATTGTATCTTCGGTTTCCATTTGGCTTGTTGTCGAGATTAACACTAACGCAATTGTGTTCCATAAAGCACAGCCGCTCACATTCATCCACATCCTGGACTTCAACAATGTTTATTGTATGATTCACTAGACGTCTCTTAGCGAAGTTGAGAAAAGCTGGAAACGCTAGTTCACGACATGACCCTAAAGGAATTAAACCAGTAAACGTTTGACGAGACTTGGTAAACAGCCCATAAAGGTGATTGGGGGAACTGAGCTTTTATCTTTGCCATGTCGCTACCAAGTGGATAAATTTAGTTGTCTGGGAAACTGCCCACCTACCCCTCCCCTAAGCCATCATTTTGCCCCAAGTGAGAAGTAAGTGTTAATGTTAGCTTAGGGGAGGGGAAGGTGGGCAGTTTATTGATCCGTTTTTTTCACTCAAATTTCAAATATCTGAATTTTTCTGAGAATAAAACTCGTTTGCTGAAGGAAATAATGTGAAGTTTTGGGTATTTTGGGGAATCAAAAGTCGACGTATAATTATTTGTCCAACCCGAAATTAGTGAAAATCGATGTGGTGTCGTTTATCAGCTGCAGGCGGTTGGCAAGTCGGCAACTTTCGGTCGCGACAAGATTGATTAAAAACAAAATTAAAACTTAGTGTTGAACAAGTAATGAAAATAAAACCTAAAGAATAAAAAAAGATAAAAGTATATATAAAAAAGGGGCTCTATTTTTATCAATTCAGTGAACATTTAACTGAACCAAGATCAGAACGATGCGTGCTATAAAACGCAATTGTTTGCTTATGGAGATTTATACATGTGTGTCTTCGATCTCACTCTTTTTAGCGCCACTTACCTATCTCTGAAAAAGCAAAGACTGTCCAACAAAGTGATAAGACGAGGCCAAGAGCATACATCGAAAATTGCGGAAAACTCATATCTTCTTGGACAGACAAACATAAACTCCTGCAGTCAGGAAACTTCCAATCTAAACGAGCAAATGAGTCTAAGCATCCGTTGGCCGCAATAGTTATTTAAAATCAGGCTGAGACCCATCAGCCAAACAACAAGGTGATGATTGGAGCTTTATAATTTAATGTTAGTTTTAATAACCAATAAATAACTGAGATGGGTTTTAACCGGCTATGTTCAGCAGCTGTTAGCCTCAGCCATTTTGATATATCAAAAACAATGAGCAGAAGGACTCAGTAGACGTACGTTTTCTTTTCCCTGTTTATGAAAAACGATGCAAGCGAATCCAGAACTTGAATCTTGTCTATTCCATAATTATTATTAAGGAAGACATAGTTATAAAAAGGACCAAAGATCAGACTAGAACGTTGATATATATCCCTGAACGTGCAGTTTCTTGTGCAACCTGCTAACAGCCAATAAAAGACGCGATCGCGTCCCCTAAACAGTCTTATTCGTACGTATAGTACAAGTAAATGTTTGTGATTATCTATATGATGGTTTAGTTTCGTCTTTATTCCCTTTGCATTATTTGCATGAAATATAAAAATGACCCTGAGGCAGTGAGATGAAAATATTAATAATTTAGACTAAGACTTAAATTTTAGCTCAATTCCTAGAACGAAATTTCAAAAGACGAGTCCAGGAAAAGGTTCTAAGTTTTATTACTTTCGATAGCGCACATTTTATTGCTATATTACTTTATTTTATTGTTGTGGCAAACATGAAAACTAAGTAGTTAGTCTTAGTACTTCATCTTTAGACAGTTGATATTAAGAATTTTTTGTTAAAAAAAAAAATTGGTCAAACAATTTTAAGCAAAAGTTTTATACGTCTGTAACCCCTACATTGTTACGACAAAACGTTAATATGGCAGAGCCCGGCTTCACTATGTCTGTCTGTTTGTAAAAGCGAAGAGCGTCACCGGGGGGTAGAGAAATTATAAAACCGAGTAACCAAAACAAAAAAACAAAACAAAACAAAACGGGCTTCAGGGTATTCTAGAATCGTCTTATTAAGTAACTAAGCATCTAACATTAAATATTTATTCCTCCGGCTAAAAAGCCTGAAACACTTACATGTTCCCTTTGCACGCCGAGTTGTTTTTTCTAGTTAGGGCAATATCGATGTGTCAAAAACGGATCGCCGTTAACACTTTGGGTGCTAGCATTTTTATGTTTATGTGATGACCATCGCATCATTGCACTGAAGGTATTCTTACGGAACACAAATTAATTTTTGTTTTTTCACATCTAGGATACCCTGGTGAGCTTCAAGGGTAAAAGGTAAATTATTTTACAGTGCACAAAGTCAGTGTGGTAATACTTGTGCCCTCTCCAGTCAAAATACAGTCGACTCTCTCTTAACGGACACCTCTATAAGAAGGACACCTCAGTAAAACGGACACCTAGAGTTGGTCCCTGCCTTTCTTTACTCCCTTTATTGACTCTCTATAAGACGGACACCTCTCTAAGACGGACACTTAGAGCCGGTCCCAAAATTGTCCCTCTTAGAGAGAGTTGACTGTATGTCTCCGAAATAACTGCTGTTGGTACAGGTCAGCTGACGGGTGGCAAGGATTGGCAATGACTGAAACTTGAAAAAAAAATGCGCCAAGTTTTTCAAGTTTTTATTCTCATTGCCTGCAGAAATCGCCAAAAAAGCATTATGGTTAAGTATTGTAGTTAAAAGTATTATGGTGCTTCTGGATAAAATTTTTGTAATATCTTCTTCATAATTCTACAGTAGATTTTTTTGTATGAGTAAATTAATGCACCAAGAAATAGGTTAAGCACGCTATTGACATAAAACGACACAATCCTCGTGGCATAGCCACTTTAACATACTCCCAGAAGCATAACTACTCATCGTCCGAAGTTGGCGGAGAGGGCCTGGAGATGATAACTCCGGGAACTTGGAGGAAGATGCCAAATATGGAGAGAACAACAGCCACAAGATAACAAATCAAGAAGAGCCGGTTGATGACACGTGCAGCAAGCTGCCATTCTTCTTGTACCCTGTCCTCATCTTGTTTCTTCAACACTCTTTCTGCCATCATGGTGATGCCGCTAGGTTCTCTGGGAAGACGTCTACGAATGCGGGAGCCGCCGTCACTGTCGCTCATGGTTACAGCGTTGTCTCCTTCGTCTGAAAATTTTTAACAGAACTTGAAATAAGTTGCATTTTAAAGTTTTCCTTTTTACCTCGCTTATTAGCATTACACCAATGGATTGGTCGTAAAATCGGTACTGTGCAGTTGTTGAATAGACTGCTTGCAGTCCGCCTTTTCTCTTAAAATCCGTCTAGTTTTTATCTCAGCCAGCGCGATTGCAAACCACGCCGTTATATGTTACAGTAAGGGATTAGGACCAAACGAGCCCTCGTTTATCGCGGCTCGCGGCGCGCTTGCGTGCTTGACTTTCTCGTGCAGAAACTTTGCAAAGAAAAATAAGAGACTGCTCGCAGTCTATTGAATCTACGGTTTCCGTCACTTATCACATGTGAATGGTTAGACAACGTGGAAGATTTATATAATCTATGTTGTCCATATCGTTTCTTTTGCTTTTATCAGTAATCACATCCATAATAAGTAAATTATCCGAACTCAACTGGGGTAATTGAAGGACAGCATTATTTTTCATTTTTACTGCTAAGCTCAGCCATTCCACCTCCCTGAGTTAAGACCTCAAGGATTTGTTGGTAGCTGTAAGTTACTTGTAATTCGGTCATAACTTGGCGGTTTTCAAAGACTAGACTTGTAGAAAACGACATAAACGTTTACACTTTAGGATTTTATGACGGAAGAGTTGGTTTTTGGATGAGTTTGGTGAAATTTTGGTGAAGTTACCGAAAAAGCTAGGCAGTCTCATCGGTTAGACTTTCCAAAAACGTCAACTGATATAACGTACTGCATTGAAAATTAGTATAGGTAATAGCATGGTTCTTAGTGATATTTGAGGTAAATACCACGAGTGATATTTCGAAATTGTTATATGTAATTTCACAAGCCGTTAGGTGAGTGAAATTTGAGACAATTTTGAAATATCACGACTGGTATTTTTGCCAAATATCACGTACAAATCATGTTATTATTTGTTTATACTACTAACCGCAAAAGGTTTGAAATTTTCACATGTAGGTATTTCAAATTAAGCTGAAATACCACTGCTCTAAGCCAATCAAATTGCAGAAATTTCTCATGTAGTAGTATAAAAGAAAGAATGAGTAGAGTGGGACTCACCTTCCTCTCCAACTCCATCGTTCTCTGTTTGAGGTTTCTTTGGGACCTCGTAGCGCACCATTCTTGCAACATATCCGAGAATATAAACCTTAAAGAAAAACATACGTGCGACAATGTGTACAAACTTCAAAGATCGGCGTAAATATCTAAATGTTATAAAAGCTCATTAAATTTTCAATGGCCGATCCAGACTTTCAGCTAAGGGGGGGGGGAGGGTGGCGGTCATCTAGACCCTGAGATGAGGGGGGAGGGACAGGCGGTCGGGCCTTCGGGCCTCATTTTGGTCTAAAAATAAGAGGGGGCTGGACCCCTAGGGCCCCTCCCCTGGATCCGCCACTGAAATTAGGGGAAGTTATGACAATGTTGCTCATACCCTGACCCATTTTGGTACTTTCCCGACTGATGTGTTGTAGTGATGAAACCGTAGCACCCAGCAAGTCAGTCCCAGTGCGCATGCGATTTCTATGATGGTCAGCGAGTAGTATCTGTCGTGAGATAAATACAAAATAGTACTTCATCACTTCTCAAACTTTCTTAACTTTTTCAACGCTTGTGCCATTGAAAAGTTAACGATAAATTATTTTATGTATAAGATGTGTAAAGATCTTGACGATTGGTTGGTTCATTGTGCGTTACGGAAGCAAATGGTGTTGTCAAATAGTTGTAGAAAAAATGTCAGAAAGATTTCACGAACATTTTGGACAGAAAGTCGTCCCTTTAAAAAGTTTCAGTTACAGTCGTAAATATTAATAATGATAGTGTAATATATAATTAATTATTTGGACAATCTTTCACGGGCTGGCTGGGTAATGAAGTGGGAAATATCAACTGGGACGCAAGTCCTGTTTTATCCCCTATCCTGCCGTATTGATTCACTGTGGCGAATTTCGCTAATTCAAAAATAACAAAAATTAATAAGTTAAGAAGTCTCTTTTTTATCTCCACAGGCCCACCCATCATCCCATACCTGCCAATCAAAGGTACGACTTCTGACGTCTCAGGGATATGAGTCGAAGCTAACAAATAGAACACGGTGAGTGATAACAGAATTGTGACGCCCATTACCATCAGTTCACCACTATCAAGGGGTAGTGTGAATAAGATTAACGTCATAAATGACGTCACCATACCTGCCAATCAAAGGTACCACCTCTGATGTCTCGGGAATGTGAGTCGAAGCTAACAAATAGAACACGGCGAGTGATAACAGAATTGTGACGCCCATTACCATCCGTTCACCACTCTCAGGGGGTAGTGTAAATAGGATTAACGTCATAAATGACGTCACCATACAAGGCGTGATGAGGTAGACGAAGTAGTAGAACACCTCACGGCGTATGTGAATCACATACGTCACGGCTGACTTGCTTTCCTCGCTCAAGTGCGTTGCTTTGCTTGTTGAATTCAGATCGTAGACTTTTTCCAGGTACCATTCGCCGCTTTCTGTGAAAGAGAAACCTTGATTAGACTCGTGACACACGGCTCAACATTCAATCGAACAGTGTGTCATGCAGTGTTGAATGTTGAGATAGACCGTTAAAAATATTTAACGGTGATGAGCGCAGTTTTTTACAGAAGCGTTGCGTGAGATTTGGAAGATTTACGCACGGAAAGATTAACGCAAATGAGATTCTTACCGACTCATGATGATAATGATGATGATGATTATGTTGTTGGAGTTTTAAGAATTAAACAGTCAACCTTTATTCAGAGTGTGTAATTTACCAGTATAGTTCTGTAGGATTTCAGTTTCTTCTGACACAAGACGCAAAGAGCTATTGCTATAAGTCCAGGACGCAAACTTGAGCCTGCAGAACTGCTCGTCGAATGGAAAATAACGGACACTGAGTTTGCAGGAACTCTTGAGGATAATAGGCGCCAGCCAGCGGACTGTGCCATGGGAAGTAATCAACAGTGGGTTGTTCATTCCCACAGGTTCACCCATGTGGCTAGTATCAGCGCTAGAAAAAAACGAAAAGCAGTTATTCTAATTTCTCNTGTGACGCCCATTACCATCCGTTCACCACTCTCAGGGGGTAGTGTAAATAGGATTAACGTCATAAATGACGTCACCATACAAGGCGTGATGAGGTAGACGAAGTAGTAGAACACCTCACGGCGTATGTGAATCACATACGTCACGGCTGACTTGCTTTCCTCGCTCAAGTGCGTTGCTTTGCTTGTTGAATTCAGATCGTAGACTTTTTCCAGGTACCATTCGCCGCTTTCTGTGAAAGAGAAACCTTGATTAGACTCGTGACACACGGCTCAACATTCAATCGAACAGTGTGTCATGCAGTGTTGAATGTTGAGATAGACCGTTAAAAATATTTAACGGTGATGAGCGCAGTTTTTTACAGAAGCGTTGCGTGAGATTTGGAAGATTTACGCACGGAAAGATTAACGCAAATGAGATTCTTACCGACTCATGATGATAATGATGATGATGATTATGTTGTTGGAGTTTTAAGAATTAAACAGTCAACCTTTATTCAGAGTGTGTAATTTACCAGTATAGTTCTGTAGGATTTCAGTTTCTTCTGACACAAGACGCAAAGAGCTATTGCTATAAGTCCAGGACGCAAACTTGAGCCTGCAGAACTGCTCGTCGAATGGAAAATAACGGACACTGAGTTTGCAGGAACTCTTGAGGATAATAGGCGCCAGCCAGCGGACTGTGCCATGGGAAGTAATCAACAGTGGGTTGTTCATTCCCACAGGTTCACCCATGTGGCTAGTATCAGCGCTAGAAAAAAACGAAAAGCAGTTATTCTAATTTCTCCACCTATATACAGACGCAGATACTTCGATCATTGTTGTCTCTGCTATTGCGTAGTACTGTACAACGGTTTTTTTCTCACACTGAAGCAGGATCATAAACCCGAAACGTTTGTTTTTGTATTTTTAAAAAAACATTTGACACTGTTTTATATTTCTTTACCGAATAACAGCTCATCAGCTATTGAAGTACAAGTGTCACGCATCCCTGACGGTTTTTTCGTTAAACATTCATTTTGAATACTGACCCTCTCTTTGTGCGTAAATCTCAGTTATTTGAGTTAGAATGCAAGAAAATTGTTGAAAGCTCGAAAGGTGTAGGAAGATTATCAAATTTACATCAACTTTTTCAAATGTGTCTGTGATACTAAATTAATTTAATTAACTAGTTAATTAATTAAAACAAAACTGAATGCAAGGCTGGCACATAGGCAAAGGGCTGATTTCTTATAGGCCAATATTTCGGCTAACAAAATTAGCCTTCCTCAGGGCCAGAACTATACAGAGAGAAAATGTCTTTTAACGTGTCCTAATTAATTAATTAATTAATTAAGTTATTTATTTATAATAAGCATACTTGTTCAGCAGCACAGTATCTGGTACCCAAACGTCCTTAGGTGACAAGCTGACCTCATCGATCCAACCAAACTCAGATTTATTCCACTGCAAAGCTGGGTCATACCAGGCCTTTAGAAAACAAACAAAATGATGTACGACAAGGTCTAGATTAGTTCTCGACTTGTTAACGAGTGTTTTGTTCTATTTCACCCTTAATATCATAATGTTTGCCCAGTGGCAACTTCCTTAACCAACTGTACTTTCCTTTATAAGTATTGTTCAATCCTTCTTTCTGGTGAAATATTTAAAGTTTAGTTTCTAGACTAATTTGTTGTGAAGATGAAGGTCTTGGCTTCTACTGTAGCCCTTTGCTCGAGAATGATCTAGCGAGTAAGTTTAATTTCTCAGAACTGTTATTTTCAAAAATTATAAGTTCAATCTGAATCTTAGTCTTCTTAAAAATGATTTATGATTAACCCAAATCTTGACTCTACTGATGATGACAACAAGAATGTTGGGCTCCTATATATCCTTTCGTCAGATCACATTTCATGCCTTTAAATTGACAAGTGCATTTATTTGAACTAACGGGCTGTCATTTTTATGAAAAACTATAAGGAAGACAAAATGAGATACAAATATGACAAAAAACGAAGATGAAGACGAATCTGTTGATGATTTACTAAATGATGATGATGATGATGATGTTAGCGTCTTAACAGCTGCTTCGCGTACGTACCTGCTTGAGCCATACACTTGTGATGATAACCTGTTTTTTTACATCCTGTAAAATTTATAAAAAGAAACTTTCGTTAATCCAGCTGTATCAAAACACTGCTTCGATTTTCATTGCCTATCTGTAAAATTTACTGAGCCTTCTGCACACATTGAGTGCCTATGATCTATCTTACTCACCATTTCAAATATCTGCACCAGTCTGAGACTAAGATTAACTGTCGTTGGCTGGGAGCTATTAGAGATGATAGGCCTGAGACCTGTGTGATAATTCTCTAGTAGCTTCTCGACAAGTGCTCTTTCCTGAAAGCTCATAACTAAAGATTTGAAAAAAATAATTATTAAGTTATTTTTCTAAATGTGCTGCTTCCGTTTTACTGCAGTCAGCTGACGGCTTTGTCGATAGGCTTTATGGAGAATTGTGTTGCTGGATAACAGGCAAGACAAGGTAAGACAAGACAATGCTTTATTTGGAGTCTTATACAGTCCTATATACATCGACTTTATCCAAATAATTTAAAATCGTAACACAAATTGACAGGCAAAATTGACAGTACTGACGCCCAGGAAACAAACATCAGCTTAGCAGTTTGGTACTTTAACTACAATCATTCATCGAATGTTATGAAAATGATCGTTTTCTTGTCAGTGCATAAAAAATCAGCAGAATTTCAAGACGAAGGATGTCTTTTACAGCTTGCTGTAAATTAATATTCAAATATTAAATTTTAAAGTCGGGAACAATCTCCTACAAAGTCTCTCGGAAACACATGAAGTTGGAAATATTAGTCACGACTTTAGAGTGAACGGCAATGGGGAAACAAGCTGAAACAGCTACTCTCTTGCCGTAAAACTACACTTGCATTAGAATACAAACTGGAATTATTTCTCAGAAACTGCGTTCAAAAGCAGCGAATTAACTGTTACAACATATACGTAAAAACCTGCAATATTTAACACCAGGGCAAAAACGTTTAAAAAATTGTTGGTTCAAAGTATTGCTAGCTTTGCCTGGAAGGCAAATTATTCCCTTCCAGTTCGCGATTCCCCTTCCTGCTTTCCCGACAGCACCAAAAATCGCTTATTTTAAAAAAATATTGCAATTCCTATTTTTAAAAAAATATGTCTATTTGTTTATGGTACCTTGTGCAAAATACCCCGCCATCAAAAGCAAAAGTCGAGCAGAAAGCAGTTCGTCAAATGTGGCAAAATTCATGTTAATTGGCCATACGGGAGTTTCGTCTGATTGCAGAAACTTAAATTTATTGGTGTGTTTGCTTATATTCTGTATGCATCGCTAGAATTTTGACGTCGCCCTTTATTTGTCTGGTTCGACTGGTGTTTGCAGGTGGCTGCAATCAAACTCAGTGGTCGCAGCTGTTAGCCATGCATATTGGAAGTAGACCAGGGAGCTTTAGCTTCGACAACGGCGACGGCAGCGAAAATGTCACCTTTGAACTGAATTCTGCGTTGTTTTGAACTTTGTTGCGTTTATTCTAATTCGGTGTGAGTGAGTGAAAACTTTATTTACCCACGCTAATTTTATCAAATAACTTTACATAAAGCATCTGTTCTACCTAAAAGCCGTGCAAATGTGTCAAAAGAAAAGGAATTTCCCTGGAGTTGATTTCTTAATGACTGCAGCAAAGTTTAGAAAGAGAAATTGAAGGAAAAATTCGTCGTCGCTTGTTTACGTCCTCCATAAAATGTGAAATTAGGCATTTTCACGTCGAAGTCGTGCAGTGACGGCGAAGAAATGTGCAAAAAAGAGTGATACACGTGCAAAGTTGTTGTTTTGCAAATTAAATCTACTGCTTTTTTGTCGTCCTTGTTGCCGTCGCCATCTTCGTTGCTAAAGGTGATGTTACACGAGACGATTCGCAACGACGATTTTTAGCGCAACACAGCGTTACAACATTGTTGCGACATTGTTTCGAATAGTTACAACACTGTTCCAGCATTGCAACGCTGTGTTGGTTCAACACTGATTGCAATGTTTTTTCATTAACGCGAGCCTCGCCTTTAGCCTCGGCTAAATCTATGTACTATCACCTCGGCATATCCCATCTGCCTCCTTTACATCATCTGTCAACGGTTTAAAACTGAACGTTCCTAATTCGCATAATACTTAGTGATATTTTGCCACCTTTAAAACTAATTTCGTATATGTAGTTTTGACAATGATTGTTGTTGCAACTTCCAAGATATACGAGACTCGACTCAATGTCTTTTAAAGAGTAACTATTATGGAATTACTGCAGCCTTGCGTGTAGTTTGATCGTACAAGTAAGTATTTTTTAAGGAAGGAATGATCTACAAATCGTGCCTCCTACTTTAAGTATTTGTTTAGTATTTTAAGGGTACGTTGGTTTTCACGGTGATTTGCATTGACTTGAAATTGTTGAAAAACACAGCTACAATGCCCTATGTGTAAGTACCTGATAAATACTTAATATACACGTAAATGGGTCACGCATTAAAACTTAAAAAGCAATGAGTGGTATAGATATTTGCATTTCACTGTATTATTCCGGCGGAAAAAAAAAACAAAAAACGAGAGAAAACGACATCACCTGCCAAAGCCAAAACAATAAATATTCATCATAATCTTTCTTAAGGAAGTTCTCATGGTCCTCTACGGTAATTCTTCCTTCTCCCTTACTTTGTTTTTGACGAATGAAAACTAGAGAGACGAACGAAAAAGGCCGGGTAATTTGACGATCAGTAACTGACTCGCATCGACACTGAGCTCTCTGTTAGTCAAATAAAATGTCAATTAGTTTACCCACAGTTTGCAAAAATCCTACCTTACTTACTTAAAAAATTCCATTTTTACCAAGACGTAGGCTTAAACAAGGGCGTTTCTAATTTCGAAATGTTTTATTAATGAATACTGAAAAGCACAAAACAGGTAATATTGAAAAAGGAGATATTGAGCCCGAAACCAATTCCACGGTAACTAGTCAGGTGAACTTTCATGGCGTCTATAAATTCGTTTCTTTTACTTGCATGGATTATTTGGCTTATTTTGTGTACTTCTCTATGTACTGGTAAGTTTTGTTCTTATCTGCAGGCAATCTTTTTGCCTTTATATATTTTTGAGCTTTTATTGTTTTTTCGTAATTCAATAATCCGACAAACTTGTATGATATACAAAACGCTTAACCTAAATAATAGCCTGTAAATCATAAAACATACAATAATTGTAAATTTCCCTTTAGTTAAATGGGTGCGTTTTTAAGAGTAAAATGTTCAGGCTTTTCCTCGCAGAAAATAAGTACTAGTTGTTGCAAACAGGAAGACAGTTTTTCATTCATTCAAATTTACTAATTATAATATAGTATTACCACTGAAAGCAATTTCTATTTCAAATATCTGCACCAGTCTGAGACTAAGATTAACTGTCGTTGGCTGGGAGCTATTAGAGATGATAGGCCTGAGACCTGTGTGATAATTCTCTAGTAGCTTCTCGACAAGTGCTCTTTCCTGAAAGCTCATAACTAAAGATTTGAAAAAAATAATTATTAAGTTATTTTTCTAAATGTGCTGCTTCCGTTTTACTGCAGTCAGCTGACGGCTTTGTCGATAGGCTTTATGGAGAATTGTGTTGCTGGATAACAGGCAAGACAAGGTAAGACAAGACAATGCTTTATTTGGAGTCTTATACAGTCCTATATACATCGACTTTATCCAAATAATTTAAAATCGTAACACAAATTGACAGGCAAAATTGACAGTACTGACGCCCAGGAAACAAACATCAGCTTAGCAGTTTGGTACTTTAACTACAATCATTCATCGAATGTTATGAAAATGATCGTTTTCTTGTCAGTGCATAAAAAATCAGCAGAATTTCAAGACGAAGGATGTCTTTTACAGCTTGCTGTAAATTAATATTCAAATATTAAATTTTAAAGTCGGGAACAATCTCCTACAAAGTCTCTCGGAAACACATGAAGTTGGAAATATTAGTCACGACTTTAGAGTGAACGGCAATGGGGAAACAAGCTGAAACAGCTACTCTCTTGCCGTAAAACTACACTTGCATTAGAATACAAACTGGAATTATTTCTCAGAAACTGCGTTCAAAAGCAGCGAATTAACTGTTACAACATATACGTAAAAACCTGCAATATTTAACACCAGGGCAAAAACGTTTAAAAAATTGTTGGTTCAAAGTATTGCTAGCTTTGCCTGGAAGGCAAATTATTCCCTTCCAGTTCGCGATTCCCCTTCCTGCTTTCCCGACAGCACCAAAAATCGCTTATTTTAAAAAAATATTGCAATTCCTATTTTTAAAAAAATATGTCTATTTGTTTATGGTACCTTGTGCAAAATACCCCGCCATCAAAAGCAAAAGTCGAGCAGAAAGCAGTTCGTCAAATGTGGCAAAATTCATGTTAATTGGCCATACGGGAGTTTCGTCTGATTGCAGAAACTTAAATTTATTGGTGTGTTTGCTTATATTCTGTATGCATCGCTAGAATTTTGACGTCGCCCTTTATTTGTCTGGTTCGACTGGTGTTTGCAGGTGGCTGCAATCAAACTCAGTGGTCGCAGCTGTTAGCCATGCATATTGGAAGTAGACCAGGGAGCTTTAGCTTCGACAACGGCGACGGCAGCGAAAATGTCACCTTTGAACTGAATTCTGCGTTGTTTTGAACTTTGTTGCGTTTATTCTAATTCGGTGTGAG